TGCGTTTATACAGAGCTGTGGGAGGAATGGGCGAGGGCTGGAGACTTGTCACTGGTGTTAACACTTCGCTGTAGAGTAAGTAGAGATGTTAGTTTCTGTGCAGATGTTTTTGGTTTTGTAGGTGAACTTTGTCAGTAAAAGCACACCTAGCCCTCTGCAGTTAATTTTTTTTTTATTTTTAATTCTGCAGAGGTATTTTACCTGTAGAGCTAATGGGGTGTGGTTTCAAAGTATATTTCAGTTGGCAAAAGTAGTAGAAATATTTGAACCATTATATCTAATGTTCCTCAGTACCTAACTGCAATGCTGTGCTGAGTGTGATTCACCGGGCAGGCTGCGGGTAAATGTTTTTTTCTAGCTCTTGTTTTGAAGTGTGTTTAAACAAACACAAGTTATCTCTAGTTGAAGGTGTTATGTCCCAAGTGTTGTGCTGGGAAAATCACTAAAGGAGATCACTTAGAAAAATGCACCTTTCCTTTCTTTTTTTTTTTTTCTTTTTTTTTTTTTTTGTCTTCCATTCAGGTCCTGGAGTCTTGACCCGAACTCTGCTCAATGCAGGTGTTAGAGTGGTAGCCCTAGAAAGTAACTCAGCTTTTCTTCCGAACTTAGAGGTACGCTTTTCATTTAGTAGCACGTTTCTAAAACTTAATTAAAGGGTAATAAGAAAGTACAATTGTGTAATAACTGTTGGATCAAAAAGGAATTAGGATTGTTACTTGTAACATCTCAAATAACAGTAATAATATTGTTTGGTTTTACATTGCACAGTCGGCAGCAGACTATTTTAAAATAAATTTATTTGACATTTTGTGTATGTAGGAATTCAAGTTCATAGTCTTCCTATGAGTAGTTTCATGCATAAATTTGAGGCTAATACTAACCAGAGTCGTTGTAGTTGTATATGTTTAAGCAAGATGTCTGTATGTAGCTTTCAGAAATCCCTCAGAATAGTCTTGGTTATGCTGATTACCTCATGGTATTATTTAATCTATTCTCCTGAAACTGACTGGTAATATTAAGACACTTACATATGTTGTCCTCTCCTGTTTGCCTTGGCTTTGTGTGGATGCAAAGGTGGTCAGACACAGAGTTGCAGAAGTTTCACTAGAAGGACTGTGTTATGATACTGTAAATTGGAGGTTTGGAACCAAAGACTCTCACCTGACTTAACGTGTCTATAAAAGGCATTCTCTCTGCGTATATGAAGAATTCCAGTTGTAAATCATTAAATGCAGTGGTTTCTTTAGTTGAGTATAGCTTTTTGTTTTGCAAAACATTTTAGAATGTCATACTAATTTAAGAATGTCTTTTAAAGCGTCACTTGAGCAGCCAAAAATGTCAAAACGCCCTGCACAATGAAGGAAGATATTTTTTTATGAACTGCAAGAAGCAGCTCTGAGATTTGGCTCTTGTTTACTGGGTAACAACTTTAGGTAGTGCTTAAACATTTTTTGTTGTTGTTTGTTTGGGATGGGTGTTCTGCAAGAAAGGTTACTGCATCCAGATTTCTTCAACTGAAACTCATTTTATTCAGTCCCTAGAGAATAGCCTGGATGGACAATTAAAGGTAATTTATGGTGACTTCTTCAGACTGGATCCTTTGGCGAATGGAACAGTGAAACCACCTGCTATGTGTTCTGACAACCTTTTTGAAACCATGGGTGTGGCGGCAGTTCCTTGGAGGGCAGGTATATGTATATGATCACATGTTACAAATACATTTGAAGGGTGCGTGGGCAGTTTGGCAAGATCTTTGGGATTTGCTTGAGGTGTATGTTCTATTTAATGTATATGCTGGATGAATAGATTTAATTTCTTACATTTCAGCTTTATTTAGGTTCTCGATAGCTTCAAAAAACCCTTGTGGCAATATGAAATCTCAGCTGTTTGCTTGTCTTTATTAAAGGTTTAGTCTAATGCAAACTGGGCTTTGACTAAAGCTTGTATTTTGTATTCATTCTTGAACAACATGAGCGGACAGACTTTCTTAATTGTTTGTAGTTTAGACAATAGCAATAATGAGATTCTCTAGTATGTATTGCAAAATTGTAAAGATACTTTTACACACTATTGAAACAGATGTACCTGTGAAAATTTTTGGAATCTTACCACAAAAAAGGGAAAGGAACATACTTTGGAGGCTTGTTTTTGCCCTGTATGAATGCAGTTCCATATACAGATATGGAAGAGTAGAACTCAACATCTTTATAAGTGAAAAACAGTACAAGGTATGTGAAAGAGATTCTACAGGTAGTAAAGAATAAGTAGTGCTTCACAGAACACAAAAACATTTATATTGTATAGTTAATGTTTTTGCTAGTGAATTTCTTTTCTGCCAGACTTCTTAAGTCTTGTCTATTTCCTACTTGTTCTCTTTATGCAGTAATAGCGCTGTCAAGAAACATTCTGTTGCCACATAACCACACCTCTTACAAGTGTGAAAGCTGGTCCTTGAGAAGGATATTCAGCAGCAGACTAGCTGCTTTCCATTGTAACTTGTGAGGTACTTAAATTCTGTAACGTGCTTTTGCAACAAAATTGTTTACTAGTTGCAGGTAATAGTCAATGAAGTCTGAATTCAAAATGCCTCATGAAGAGGATTCAGAGTTATTAAATACCATACTCAGTGAGATGCACTTGTCCTCTTCAGCCACTTTTGTATGCAGTACTGAAAAAAAACTGATGCAAAGTACAGGTGATTTACACATCTTTTTATTAAGGTTCTGTACGCTAAGGTGCAGAGCAGCTTTCTGGGTTATGTGTTCCTAATTGACACTGTCACAAACCTCTAGAACTGTACTTACAGTTCAACGCTACCTTTTCTTTCTGTGAAACTGTGAGGTTCATGCAGAGCCACAAACCTTTAATTGAAGTAAGCAAAAACTTCCAGGTGTGCTTATGCAACCTGTGTTGTGTCTAACACCCTACTTTAGTATATTTTTCTGCAAAATGGCAGGTAGGACACCACTGAAATATCCACTTAAATGGTATGTTTTTAATGGCCAGATTTTTGAGCAAATAGGGGACAGCCTATTCATTTAGTGCAGTCACTGTGTTTTTTATTAAGTTTCCTGGTTTAATTGTGAACCCTGTTAAATGACAGTTGTATGCCTAACTGAAAGCAATTGGAACCTTCTTTTGTGCTTTGGTTAATCATATGACAAGGCTCTCTAAATCTATTGTGAGAAGTTAAATCTCCCTGCTACAATTTACTTCTTTCTTTTGCCCTGTTTGAGAATAACCACAAGTTTTTCTTTTTTTCTTGCTCTAAGAGTTTTCTGAGCTGTAATATTGATCAGGATGATGACTGTGCAAGCTGCTTAATGTTCAGTGAGGTCACCTGATGTTTGCCTTACTCTGCTTGTGTATCTTACTGGGATTATTATTTTATCAGTATGAGCTGATAACTCCGCCCACATTATGGGTTTTGTACAAAATATGATCCCTGTTTCTCTTCCGTGTGAAACTTCTCTACCCTAAAAGGGACCAAAAAGTATAACCTGGAAACTCTTATACAAATAACTGCTGCAAAGAAATACTTAAACTACCATCATGTCTTCTAATCATGTCTTCTGGCAAGATGTACTAAAATAGCACAAAGTATGTATTTGAGGCCTAATGTAACTTTACCGTGGAATTTTAGACTTAACTATTACTTTCTTACCGCTTGTTTTATATATA